ATTTTAAACTATGGGGAGTGGGCTATACTCTAAAACTGATGGGTTGATTGTAAAACAATCATGTTTTATGATTGAATGATTCACTTATTGAATAACATGATATATTAATTACTTGCCAATAAAACTGTTGGAAAATTAAATTAAAAAATATATCTCCATAAGATTGGCTTGGAAGAAGTACAGCCAAAGTGCTCCTTAGAGACAAGGATGAAGAAACTTTGTATTACATATTCTGGACATGTCAGGAGAGACTAGTCCCTGGAGAAGGACATCATGCTTGGTAACGTAGAAGGGCAGTGGAAAAGAGGAAGGTCCTCCATGAGATGAGATGCACATGGTAGGTGCAACAGAGGGCTCCAGGATAGGGATTATTGTGAGGACATGTGTCATACTGTTGCGCAATAGGTCACTGTGGGTAGAAGCAGATTCGATGGCACCTAACAACAACATAAGCCAATCTCTACAGAGACAATGACACAGTTTGGAGACTAAGAATAGAACAAGGGAATAATGTACATTTTAAAATCAGGAAAGGTGCACATCTGGGTTGTATTTTTTCACTATCCTTACTCAATGTGTATGTGGAAAAACTAATCTGAGAAGCTGGGCTGTAGGAAGAACATGGCGTCAAGATGAGAAGAAGACTTACTTTCGTGCTGAAGCAAGGAGATTAGAAGCACTTGCTGATGAAAATTAGACTGCAGCCTCCAGTATGAATTGCAATTCAATGTAAATAAAATCAAAAGTATCACAACTCTACTAATAGACAACCTCATGATAAATGGAGGGAAAAAATCTCATGGTTTCATTTTATTAGAATTCACAATAAAATTTATATAAACAGCTATCAGGAAATTAAACAATTCTACATTGAACAAGTCTGCTATTCAAGATTTCTTTAAAGAGTTTAAAAGCAAAAATATCATTTACATAAGAAATGTGTGCCAAATCCAAGCCTCATATGCATGCTGAATTTTATCAATGAATTAGGAAGCCAACAGGAAGTCAATATTCTTTGGCAAAGAATATTGGAAGTACATGGACTGCCAGATAAACAAGCACCTTTAGCTTGGGGGAAATGGAGCCCGAATGTGCCATAGACGTGGGGATGATGAGACTTCATCTCAAGTACTATGCATATGTTATCAGGAGAGTCCAGCCCCCAAAACGGACATCATGATTGTAAAGTATAGACTCAAAGGAAAAGAGCCAAATTCTCAATGAAATAAACTTCATCCTCAATGTTCAGTTCTTCAACACCTGTTCCCTTTCAGCAAGCAAGGTTTTCATCTGCATATCACAGTTTG